ATAATAATAATAATAATAATAATACAGGTAGGCGGTGCACCTGCCCAATGAGTGCATTCCAAAACTGTGGTGCCACCACCAAGAGAGTCCTCTTCGTTGTCAAAATAGACAGAGGGGCAAGTGTGTGTGTCTTATGTAGCAAAACTGGAAAAAGGGTCTTCACCAACGGCAATTGTGTTAATGAATTACTACCTTGTTACTCCCGGAGCTCGGTTTCTTGGCTAATTTTATTAAACCAGGCCTTGAGCAATAATAATAAGCGGTCAGTTTCTTGGAGGAAAGGACAACAGGTTTTATTCAGATAAAACAAGTGCCCAGCAGGGTAGAGACCCTGAGATCAACAGGTTCAAGTTTTTATACAGCTCTAAAAAAAGAATAGAAGTCAAAGAACAAAATTATGCAGCAGTTCATTGGTCCTTGTGGAATATATGCATTGGGTACAATTTTGCGCATCTCAGCAAAGCAGCTGTCCATGCGCACAGCGGCTTATCTCTAAGGTCTTTTGCAGTCGTCGATAACACCAGCACTTGATCGACATCAATCAGCCTTGACAGAACCATTAAGATAATCTCATTTCCAAACTGCCATCTCAGAATAATAGAATCAGTACTGCCAAACCTTTTAAAATGTGCACTGCAGCCCACTTTTTCAGCCTCGATGAGAACAGACATGTATAAAGCTGTGGGTAGGAGAGGAGCCCCTTCACGGATTGCTGCCTTGTCTTGGCGAAGGGGCTTGAGTCATTCAGAGAAGCGATGGGCTATGCTGTGCAGGGATACCCAAAATGGACAGGTCCTAGTGGAGAGTTCTGACTAAACATGATCCATCGGGAGAAGGAACTGGCGAGCCACTCCAGTATCTTTGCCAAGAAAACTCTATGGACAGATACAAAAGTCTAAAAGATATGACGCTGGAAAATGAGCCCCTCAGGCCAGGCCCTCCTGTCTTCCACGGCCTCCCGGAGTTGGGTCAAATTCATATTGGTCGCTTCTATGACACTGTCCAACCATCTTGTCCTCTGTCGCCCCCTTCTCCTCTCGCCTTCACACTTTCCCAACATCAGGGTCTTTTCCAGGGAGTCTTCTCGTGAGATGGCCAAAGTATGGGAGCCTCCGCTTCAGGATCTGTCCTTCCAGTGAGCTGTCAGGGTTGATTATCTTCTGAATGGGTCGGTTTGTTCTCCTTGCAGTCCAGGGGACTCTAAAGAGCCTCCTCCAGCACCACAATTCAAAAGCATCAATTCTTCAGCGGTCAGCTATCTTTATGGTCCAGCTCTCACTTCCATACATTGCTACTGGAAAAACCGTAGCTTTGACTATTCGGACTTTTGTCAGCAAGGTGATGTCTCTGCTTTTTAAGATGTGTCAATGTTTGTCATGGCTTTCCTCCCAAGAAGCAGGCGTCTTTTAATTTCGTGGCTGCTGTCGCCATCTGCAGTGATCATGGAGCTCAAGAAAGTAAAATCTGGAAGTAATATCTTCCCCTTCTATTTGCCAGGGGGTGATGGGATCAGTGGCCATGTTCTTAGTTTTACCTTACAACATATTTAAGGCAACTCATGACACACACACACACACGGAAAATACTTGGTAGACTCCCATGGGGGTCACGACCCCACAGGTTGGGAAACACTTGTATAAAAGCATAAGAAGGCGTGCTTTAAAAGCAAGGAGCCTTCCTTCACAAATCACCACTTCTGTCGAGAATGGCAAATCAGACAGATGTGGCAGTTTTTGATGTGGGTTGCTGCCACCCTCCTTTCCATTCAGGGCCCGCATGCCTTCAACAGTTGCATCGCAAGCAGCTCTTGAGCAACCGTCTGTGGCAGTTTCCAATCAACCCCTTGTTTTACCATTAGAGTGGCTTCAGAACATTTCCCGACTTCACTTTTTCATTTCTAAAGAGGAAATGCCAACCATCTCTTTTATGGAGGTGAAGAGGATCCCAATTTAGGGCTACATGTGTGGCGGAAATTATGCACTGGATCAAAAAAAAAACGGAGCTTCGCTGAACAAGAAATGAGATTGGTGGTTTTCATCCAGCTCTTTTGGACTTCCAGCCCCATAATCCCTTACCACTGGAGAGGGTGGGGAGTTGGAGTATGAAACAGCAGGGAGGAGGGGGACTGCAAGTTGAGACTCAGAATTGACTCTGGGGTGGGACTTGTGACTTGGACGCAATTGTCAGAGTCACGCTGTCGAGTCCCTTTGAGCCTCCCTACCTGCTATTGATAGCGTGTCCATGTCTGCTGCTGCTATCTTGAGACTTCCAACTTCCCTACCCATATATGCACCATCCGGTTGATAGTCAGGCGTGCACACAGATGCTGGCTCTGGGAAGAGAAGTCAGCCCATTGTGTCTCTGCGTGCCCCGGCTTATCAATGGGGCAGCCCATGCACAACCCAAGTCTTTGGATTTGAGTCCAGAGTCCCAAGCCCGGGGTGGCAGGGCAGGTGGACTCGAACTCAATGCTTGGGGCTTGGGATTTGGGTCCCTAGACTTGACAACATTGCTGCAAAAACAGCTGGTGGATTAAAAAAAAACACTGTGTTAAATGGTTCATTGGTATGAATAAGAGGCCCTGAACTCAAAAAAAGAGCTGGGCTTTTAAAAGTAGGAATCTGTTTTTGTATCAGTGGTTCAGTGCATTAGATTTGGGCCCCGAGACAAAACCACATTCAATATCTTCATCAGCGATGACCTTGAAAAACTCAGCAGGTTCCACTGAGAAAAAAAGTCACGCGAATGGAGGGGTGGGCCAAAAGGCCAGTTTTGTAGTCTGTCGGGGGCTCCTGATTGGGTGGTGGAGGTGCAAACCAATGTCATTTTCCGCTCCTGGAAACCTCTGGGAATGGTGGTTTTGCAAACAAAGACAGCATATATAGGGCCTTCCACCCATAGCTGAAATCAAACCAAACCGACCGTGGATTTCAAGCAGAGGCGTTCGTTTTTGACTTTTGATACCTTTTGCTCATTTTCAGGCCCGGTACCACAGCCGACGAGGTCCTGGGGAGAAGAAGCTAGACGCGGGGCCTTCTGATGTGGCGGAACCCACTCGGTTCCCATAAATGAGAAATGCAGATGCCATCGGTTGGCAGAGTTTTTGCCCACAGGCTCTGCCTGTCGATCTTTCTGGAACTTAATTAGATTGAGGGAAGTGCTAGAATGGGATTGCTTTCCTTTAGAGCTTTCAGAAGTTGAGCTGATGTTCTCGCTTCTCCCTCCGGCCCGTGGCGGAGATGAACGGCGTCGGCCGTGGTTCCTGCAGAATAACGGTAGCTTAATCTTTTTTGTGCTGCAAGATGAGAAGAGCCAAAGAGAGAGAGAGGAACTTGAGGAGACGAGGATGGAAGGACCCAAGACGGATACATTATTCATGCCCAGATGAATCAGACACAGAGAGAGAGACGCTCATAGGCACCTGGTTAACCCGGCAGGAAGCCAAGAGGCTGCGTCTCCACTATAAGGAACATCCCAGTGATGGGTTTCCACCTATTAATGCCCCTTGTTGTCAAATTTAAAGTTCTTTCCCCCACCCCCAGCATCCCAATTCTAAGTTCCTGTTTCCAAACCTGCCAACCTCCTACCATCATTCTGGTTCCAAATCTCACCCACCACTCTTTGATCTGACCAGTGTAAGCCTTTCTCCTTGCTGGCTCTTAAAAAGTCCATTAGGTCCATTTTCTCTTCTAAATAATTCATCCCCTATGGAAACATTTTTGAGCCGCATTCATTTTTGGGTACATCTTGTCCCTGGCACCTGAGCCGACGTGGGATGGGGGAAAGGAGGAGTCCTTTGTCCAGCAGTAATAAAACTTTTAGGATTCTGGGAGCTTACGATTGCTCCTTCCCCGGCACCTGCTTATAATCCCTTGGCACCTTCTCTTCTGGAGCATCAGATCCTCAACCCTCTGACAGGGTGTGTGTGTGTTTTTTTTTCCAAGGAGCAGCAGCTCTGAGCATTATGGTAATTTCTGAGTCACCTTTGGCTGGACCCACTCTTAATAAGATGCTCGTGAGCTTGGAAGCTTTCAAGGGAGCAAAAAGCGTCCGACAGCTTCTCCCATGAGAGAGACAGCCTGGGAGTCTCTGGAAGGGAACATCCAGGAAGCGTAGCAATAGCCAGACAGGAGAAGAAAGCATCTACACAGTAAACTATAGATATAGCACCGGGTGATTGGATGGATGGACGGAGAGATGATTAAGAGTGACACAGATTGAGTAGAGCACAAGGATACAGGAAGGAAGACGGAGAGGCAATGTAGCTCTCCAAACGACTCTCGAGTCCTGGAAAGCAGAAGAGAGTCGTACGGCTCTGGGGAGGAGTGGAGCAAGCCACCCCGCTTGATCAATAGGACGTGACACAGAACGGATGGAAGAATAAAGACCAAGCGCTTCTAAGAAGCTCAGTGACAGAGCAAAAGGCTGAGGTAGGAAGAGCAACATCCTCCAGGAAGAGGGACGGCGGAAGACGCGGACGACAGACCCACGGAGCAAAACCTCAGCCTCACCGGATCGATTGGAGGGAAACCAAAATGCACACCAGCCTCAGAGGGTGACAGAAAGGACCGGCCATGACCCACAGACCGACTGGGAGCTTCCGGACGACCCAAAGGTGATGTGATGTGATGAGGCGACCAGGATGCTGAAGACTGAGAGGCAGGAGCAGGAGTGACTGCATTATTTACAGGCTGGGATATATTCCCTTGCAAATGGAGCCATAGGACAGACCGTCTCTGCCCCAGAGAAAGTGACAGGCCGGGCAACTCTGTGGGAGGGAAGGGAGAAGGGTTTTGGTTTTCCCAGCCCAACGTCCTCCTCCTAACAAGGATTAAAAAGAGACTCTGGTTATATCTGGACGGTGCGGATAAGTCACGCTCTCGGGACCGCGTCTTTTGAACCCATGGCTCGCGCCCCACCTTCACCTCTGACCCCGAGCAACATCCCACGCAACCTGAGCTACATCGCCGGCTTGTACGAGCGGGCGTACTACCGAACCGCCCGGCCGAGCCTGGCGGAGGACTCCGGCACCGAAGGGTCAGAGTCGGAATCAGAAGGGCGTCCTCGGAGCAGGCCCCGGAGACGTCGCCACCTCTTCGGGGGCCCGAAGAGGAGAGGAAGGCGCCGGACGCGCTCGGCCCCGGCCCAGGGCAGGAACCGAGGGGTCTCGCGGAGCCGCAGTCCCGGCACCCGGAAGAGGGTGCGCTTCGCCGACTCGCTGGGTCTGGAGCTCACCAGCGTCCGGCAGTTCTGGCCCCACGACCTGCCCCAGGTGCCGGAGCACGTCCACACCCAGTTGAGGCGCGACTCGCTGAGCCACTTTGCCCCTTGCCTGCCTTTCTGCCCACCTGTGAAGGTAAGGAGGTTTGGCCTACCTCGTGGGTGTGTGTGTGGTGGCCTGGATCTTAGGTTGGGTGGAAGGTGGGAAAAGGAAGAGGGGAAGTGAAATCAACAGCTGATATCCTTTCATTCCCCCACCACGACCACCACTAACCCTCCCGGATGGGAAAAGTACAGAAAGGGGAAAGCATTAATTGCATACAGAAGAGTAAACCACCACTTTCCTCTCTTCCAGGAGAGAACCTTAAGGATCAGGTAGAGATGATTTTCAGATGTAATATCTCTGTTGACCACAGTGGGGTGCTGTTGCAGTCTGCATACATGCTGTCAGATGCAGGTTCACAATGGGAAGTTAAAAGAGGGCCAGGCTCCCTGGTCTAAACTGCTCTATAGGAGTCATCAAAGCTTGGAAGAGTTACTACTTGTTGGGACTACCTCCAACCCCCTAGAATCCACTAGACGCCACCTTTCTGAGAGGCATCGCTCCACGAAGCAACATTTCTAAGTTCCGTTTCGGTCATGCGCGTAGGAAGCCCCCTTGCTTCTAGATCACACCATCTCACTCAATACGGTCAACTCTGACTGGCAGAACCGGCTCTCCCTTTTCCTCAGACAGATTGTTTTCTAACCCTGCCTGGAGACCCTTGGCATTGCCTAGTGGGCATCCACTGAAGGATAGACCAGCGTCAGTTGTGCTTATTAGGAATGTGCCATTTGGATTTTCTGGACTCCCAACTCCCAGAATTCTTCAAGAATTCCCCAGGCAAAATTCTGGGAATTTCAGTCCACAGACGCACACCTTCCAGACACCTATATTTTACTCACCTGGAGCAGCAGGGCCTGTTTTGGAAGCATCGTTCCTGTCTCAGGCCTACTTCCTGTTGTTAATGTACAAAAAATGGAAGCTGCCGTGGTGTTTCTGGGAGTTGTGGTATCACTGCCTTTTAGGCTCTGTAGAGGGTGCCTCCTGAAGAACTATGATGCCCAGAAAGCATTGCCACAACATCCATTTTTTGGACATGAACAACAGAAAGTAGGCCAAGACAGGGATGGAGTCTCTTAAGACAGGCCTAGCTCCAGGTGAGTGAAAGATATGGGTTGGAACGGCTTAGGAGAAAATTCCAAAATGTACACACCTTGTGTTAGTTTTCTGAATCCAGGCAAGAGTTGTGTTCGGGATGACGGGTTAGTGTAGATGCACATTTGCCTTCAACAGCAAAACTGAAATCTGACATATATTGTAATATAACCTCGTATTTGTCACAACGAAAGCAAACATCACCAGCATTTAACAATCTGTAGCCACACCCCTGAGTTTTTACAGAAGTCCATAAATCAGGAAGGAAACAGGATGTGCAGAAAAGGCATTTCGAGAAGTTCCTTTTTGGGATTACCAATTACGCCATTACTTGGCATTATTCGGATCCGGCATATAGGCAATTCAGTAGAGCTACAGTAAATATACAAAGGTCAAAAATCTGAAACAAGATCTCAAATACATATAGTTTTTGAGATTAATTGTATAATGTAGGAGATTGTATAATCGACAAGTAAAAGACTGTGTCTGTGTGTGTGTGATTGTTGGTGTGTGTGTGTAGTCAAAAATCTGAAACAAGATCTCAAATACGTATAGTTTTTGAGATTAATTGTCTAATGTAGGAGGTTGTATAATCGACAAGTAAGAAACTGTGTCTGTGTGTGGTTGTTTGTGTGTGTGTGTGTATTCCTAGTAAGAACCATATGCATTCATAATGAAGTTGGCAGCAGCTCTGTCTGTAGCATTTAGACAATTATAACTTGCAGCTGAATGCCTTCCAGTTAAGTTTTAGCTTTTCCCCTCCGAGTTAATCGACGTGTGGAGACGGTTCCAAATTTCCAGAAACGGCTCTCACTGGGAAGGAGAAAAGGGAGGGAACACCTCTCTTTCTACAGGTGGCAAGCATCCTTCCAGCTCAGAAATATTCCTGTTCTTGGCCTCAAATGCACCAGTGGGAGCAGAAGTCCCAACCATTCTCCTCTTGCTGCACGCCAGCCCTGCTAAGAGGAGGGAGCAAATGTACATTCTATGGAGAAGGCTTTTCAACCTGTGACTTTAGCAGGAGGCCCGGGGATTTTCCCCTCTTCTCTGCAGTGATGATCAAATTCTCCTCTCATTCTCTCAAATCCCTCTCCGCTTCCACTGTGTCTTTCCTCCTGGCTTTACATCCTATCACCCTCCATTCCTTCATCTCTGGTTTCCTATCTTGTGTTCTTCTGGCTCGTACCTCTTCCTTTCCCTTCTAGAATACTCTCACACACTTCGGTCTTGTGTTCTTCCTCCATCTTTCAGTTTTTCTTTTTGCTAGAGGTGTACAAATGTGTGGTGTTTTTTGTGTTTTTTTTTGGAGCAACGTCTCCCAGAATTCTGGGAGTTATAGTCCAAAAGTACAAATCCACACATCTATTTACATTTATAGTATCACAGAATAATTGAGTTGTAAGGGGGCTATCAAGGAAGGAATCCAGGTCAAAGCACATCTGGCAGAGGGTGGACCAATGTTCTCTTGAAGGCCTCCAGCGTTGGAGCATCTCCCACCTCCTGTAATAATTGGTTCCGTTGTCGTACTGCTCTAAAACTTAAGAAAAAATTTCCTGATATTCAGCCTGAATCTGATTTCCTCTAGCTTGAGCCCAGGATGACATGTCTGGCACTCTGGGATGACCGAGAACAGATCCTGCCCTTCCTCGGTAGGACTGATTCAAGTTTTTGAAAAAGGCTATAATACAACTCAAGTTTGATTCTACGCCTCTCTTTACCTTTGTCTTCCTACCCTTTGTACACAAGTCTGAATAGATTTGTAGATACGATGCTCCTTTTGTCCCATTTCTCGTGTCCGTATGGATCTTCCTCACTGCAGTTTTTTCCTTCCTTCATCCTCAACTTCTGTTTCTCTCACTTGATTCCCCGCTCTGCCTCCCAGCGTTTAACTCCTCCATCCTTTATTTACTTTCCACCATTCATCTCTCCTTCCATCCTTGACAGTTCATTCTGTTTTTATTACTAAAGTGTTCTGTATAACTTATTCTCCTTCCCCTTTTTTTAATCTATTCCCTCCTTTCTAACCTCTCATTGGTTTATTTTTAGTGTTTCATCCTCTAGTCTGCTCTTCTTCCTTACTAACCAGGTATTTCTATTCTTCTACATATTTTTAAATCCATTTTTTCTTTCCTTCCTTTCTTTACCCTTCTTCTTTCCTTTGGCTCCTTCTCTTTGTTTTTGCTCCTCTGGCATATCAGATGATTTCTAAACCCTCCTAACACTCAAATTATCTATCCTTCATGTGCTTCGTTTCTAATTCCCTCCCGCTCCTTTCTTTCATTTCCCTAGGATTCGTTCGGCCCTTTGAGCCTACGATGCCAGCTGGAACCCACCTTCCCAGATCCGCTGATGATGCCCGATTTTGCACCACGTCTCCTGGCACAATGTGTGTTGCTTGAAGGGGCCCGAGCCGAGGGCTCCTGCGTCTCCGGCACCATTCGGGTGCTCAACCTGGCCTACGAGAAGCGGGTCTTTGTGCGCTACAGCTGGGACGCTTGGGCCACCCAACACGAAGCTCGGGCATCCTACGCCGCTCCGGCGGGGCGGGACAGGGACCACGCCGACCGCTTCGCCTTCCGCCTGCCGCTGCCTGTCCCACTCCCGCCGGGCGTCTTTCTCGAGTTTGCTCTGGGCTACCTGGTTGGGGGGAAGGAGTTCTGGGACAACAACCAAGGCCGCAACTATTCCTTGTGCCCCCCACCCTGTGTGGATGAGGAAGACGAGCCCCCCAGTCCCACTCACGACTGCTGTGAGACGGGGTGGATACACTTCCTCTAGGGGGAATTGACCACCGTCGTCCCAGTAAATTAAGGGGGGAATCTAGAAAGCCAAAGAAAAGAGCAAAGCAAGGGGGGAGGCTCGCCAAAAGTCTGTTCAGTGTTCCTTCCCCTGAGCCCAAGGAAAATGTTGGGTTGAAACTCTCTCTCTATAGGCCAAGGATTGACCCACTCAACTGGAGTTTGCTGGGGGCAACTCAGACGCCGAGCAAAACGAAGGTGGCCATTTTAAGCTCAGATGCGCCTTGGCCATAGAGTAAACCGAGTTTATTTATTTATTACATTTGAATACCACCCCATTGGTGCCAAAGCACTATTCTGGGCAGGTTAAAACCAATACCAAGCAAACATTTAAAAAACACTCACAATATAAAAACCAGACCGCAACAAAACCATTTACTGAAACACTAGGAGAGGAGAGGAATCAAATATCAACCCAGGTCTGTATGGAAGGCCTCACTAAGCTCTTGAGTTTTCTTCTGAATTACAAGAGAGAGGGAGCCAGGCGACGCTCCCCTGGGACCTGATTCCATAGGTTTGGGGACACCATGGAGAAGGCCCTGCAGGAGCAGGCTGGCTGCTGGACCATGGTATCAGAGGGCACCGTCCAATGAGAAGCCTTCTCCTGCCTAACTCTGACCAACCAGAAGGAAGAGAACGGACTACAGGGAGCAGGGGAAGAAATAGGGTTGCAACGGTGCTGGAGGACACCAAGGCCAATGCAGTGATGGGCAGGCATATCTGTGAGAAGCCAGCTTGGCTTTCCTGTTTTGCTGTCACCACCCTGGCTGGCGTCCAGCATGACCTTCTGGAAGTCATAGTCTAGCGTCCAGTTTCTAGCTTATAGATATTTTGACAACCTCCGCAGCCAGGCAGTAGCATGCCAATATGACAAGTTTCCACTCTCCGTAAGGAGTGTTTTGCGGGATATTCTAATTGCCCATCTTAACCATGTCACCAAATTGTATCCACCCAATAGGACCAAGGGAAGAGTGAACGGGGAAATCCTATCAGGGAACTCTCTTGCACTTCAGAAAAGATCGGATGACCGGATCTTTGTTCCCATTGTATAGATGGGTAGGAAGAGGCTGAAGGAGGATCCTTTGGGTCTCCGGCACCTGTGATGATGATGGATCTCTTCCAGTGTGAACTTTCATGTCTGAGGAAAGGGACGGTCGGTCTACAAAAGCTCACACTGGAACAAATCCATGAGTGTCAAAGGTGGTGTCGTGCTTTTGTGTTCCCTGTGCGTGCTGAAACAGTCTAACGCAGCTACTCTTTGAAAATCTTGTGTCTGTGATAAAGCTAGGATTGGAAATAAAGCCTCCCTCCCAGTGATATGACTTTGGTCTAAATGCTGTGCAGTATGATCCTGCAGGTTCAACACCTGCTGATTCACCCCTCCACTGTCTGAAAATATTTAAAAAATATTTAAAAAATAAATCCTGTTCCACTGTCTGAAAATATTAAAAAATATTTAAAAAATAAATCCTACTAATATATATTTCTAAAATGAAGTTACCAGAACCGGACACTAAGGGGGAGCCAGTTATGTATAGTGTTTTCTCTAATCTGCATTTTTCAGCATTCATGGGTGGGTGGGCTTGGAACCCATCCTCCATGGATTGGGGGGGGGTCGTACTGTATGTGCGATGGCCACAATCACAGCTCATGAACAAGTTAACAGTCACAGGCCTTGCCATGCATCAAGCTGTACGACGGACACAATACCAGGAGCATGGGCGTCTGTCTACTCATTATGTAGCGGCAAGCGGCCATCTCAATTTAGACGATTGCACTTAATGTCGGTGTAAATCCCCAGGAGGACTCTGACTGTTGGGATTGAAGAAAGCCTACATTTTGGATAGGTTACCTATAAAATGTACTTACAGATACGTTTGTGGTAGGGCACCTATAATCCCTGCTATTGAACAGAACAAATAAGGAGGTGGTCTTTCTTCGATGTTACCCCGTCTCCCCAGAAACATGCAACAGAGGTAGCCATTTCCCACTTCTACGTATACACTCCCAGTGAGAGTTGAATCTTCCTAACATTGGCTGGTGCAGGATCCTAGCTCAAACTAGACAGATTGCCTTTCCAAGGACTTTTCCCCACACCGATCCTTTTTCCTCGTGTCTTCCTGCAGAAGTTCCTGAGAAATCTGGAATGTCTGAATGTTCAAATTTGTATTGCTATTCTCTCCATCTTAGGTGTTCTGGTGATATTCCTTGTGCATGTTTTTTTTTAATCCGTTGCTTGCTAAACATGGTGTACATCCATAGTAGTCAATGGTGTCACGACAGACAAGCTCACAAGGTTGAAGTGACAAGACTTTTCTAACAGCAGAAAGGACATTGTCCACTGGCCTCTCTCAAGTGTCTGTTACTTCCTACGGCAATCCTCAGATTAGCTATGCTGGAGACAATCTTTCCAGTAACAATACGTTATTCAGAACTATCTTGAATGGGTAGTTAAGGTAAATAAGTCTGCCAAAAAAAATGTTGACATGGATCAGTCTCATTTTTTTAGTCAACTCAGATATACAGCTACAAGAACTGTCACGCCAAGCTCCCGCACTTCCAAATTCATCCTTACATCAATGGTCAAAAGCCTCTATTTTGGATTAAATTGCCAAGGAACGTTTGGGAGGAAAAGGAACAGTGTTTCATGGGCCCTCCGTGTCTCAGACGAACCCTTAAGAACTTTAGCCTCCAGAGTGTTGCTTCCAAAACTCATTCAAAGGACACATTGTGGTTCTCGGGCCTGAAAAGCTGTCTCTAAAGTGGATAAGAAGAACTACCCAACCTCAGTGTCTTGGAGGCTGGAGGAGGAGGTTTATAGTTGTGTATATGCCAAACATTATAATTAGACCAAAGATATGTATCCTGGATCCGTACATCACTTTCACTGTTAATCTGTATGACTTCATTCACTGTATTCCATCACAATATGGTAATTCAACCATGCTGCATGTATGTCTTCTCTGTCTGTTCTACAGGTACTCATGCAGAGATAGTACAGACAGACTCTTTATATTTCAGAAGAGATTGCTCACATGCAATCTGCATTTCTCTCTGGTTCGCCAAGCCCCGTTTTCAAACCTGGGGCTTTGTTTGATCATAGTTCTCCACAGCTTGCAACCCCTGGTCAAAGGATTTCGATTCCAAGGCCCCTACTGCAACTTTATATCATCTAGACTGATGAAGAGTTCTGTGGAGCTCAAAAGCTTGTGTATTTTGTGCATTTACAGTTGATCCTAATAAAAGCATTGGATTTGGGGATTTGTACCACATTTCTGATAGCACCTTCTATTTATTTGCTCCGTCCACCTGGTTTGACCATCTGAAAAAGCTAAAAGAGGAGTTTGTCACCAAGGTGTATCAACCCTGTAGTCTCACCAGGGCAAAATAAAATTTTTTAAAAATCCAAGAAATATGGTCCATCTGAGCCAATGAAGAAGTACTGTCGCTGGTCTCAAGGCAGTAATTTTTTGTCTTTCCAGTGTAAAAAAGCTGTGAATCGGCATTAATGAAATCCAGTTTAGCTAATCTTCGTAATGGAGGATGTGAAAGAATGAACATTCTCAAAAGCCAAAGAAATAAATCGATTAAAAATTATTGACATGACTGAAAGTTCTAGTTGAGAGCGTTGTGCAAGCGTAACTGTTGTGAGAGGTTTGGGGGTCCCTCGAAGCCAGTCAGCCTTAACCATAGGACCGGCCCCTAACTGAGATACCGGGAGCCTGCTGAAGGAATCTGCGGATTTTTCAACAGGACTGGTGACAAAATAGCCAGAAATGTTATGCGAGAGATGTGCGGCCTTTCCAGGTGGTTTTTTAATTGTTGTCTTAGGAGGAAATTCATTCCGGGAAGTCCGACAGAGCACCTGGCACATCTCCCCAGTTTGCGATACAGGTTTGGCCGCCTTGATGGGCTGCGGTTAGAAAAGGGAATGGAACATTGTTTTGGCAAAAGAAGAAGAGAGGATTTAGAAAACACGAGAGGGAGACTGCTGGGCTTTGGAAAGAAAACTAGAAGGGTTGCCGGAAAAGGAAATCTATAGGGCTTAGAAGCATTTGTAAAAATGGACGGACGAGACAGGGAGTAAAAACCTCCCATCCAGTTCTTTGGACCGTCTTCTTTCTTCTGCAACCTTTCTTAGAAAAGAAATGGACAGATTAATCTGTGGGTTGGAGCTACTGGGAAAACCACGAGGTCCAGTCCCAAAGCAATGGCTGCTACTTCCCTATGTCTGCCCCTTCTCTTCCCCTCTTCTCCCCTCCCCATCATCCCCCCTTCTCCTTCTTCATCCAAACTTCTCTTTACCCTCCTCTCCTTCGGCTCAGATCCCTCCTCTTTTTCCT